AGAATCAATTCTTTTTTAATGTTAAAAACATTTGTGCTGCTTATTTTTTTGTTTTATTTTTTTGGAAACAATGATAGATTCTTTGATGAATAGATGGTTCAAACGAACCGCATTTATTTGAAAATGAAATATTTTGATCAATGTAATGCATGCTTGCTAATTAAAAGTATTAATTTCTTTGAAAAAAAAAAAACTTTCAAACTTTAGGGTATGAATTTTGTAGCCTTTTATGAGAGAAGCACAAAATATTGGTGCCATGTTGTATATTAGATTATTCTATTTAGTTATCGATATAGGTCAAAATTGCATATTTAATTATGCACACTAATTTTGAGATCCATTAAAATGCCTTAAAAAACATTGATTTTAGATTTAAATGTTTTCATTTTACAGTGGAGTTTTATTGTGGCACACCTGTGCAATAATCATGCAGTCTAATCAGCATCTTGATATGCCACACATGTAAGGTGGATGGATTTTTTTCACTCACAAAGGAGAAGTGCTCACTAACACAGATTAAGGCCACGTTTACACAAAGCCGGGTATTTAGAGAAACGAATATTTTCCCCCTCTCCATTTTCAATTATAACATCATGCACACACCCGCATAAATACGCTGTCGAACGCCATCATATCTGTGCCAAACCTATGGGCGGCAGTGTAGGGAGAAGGATAAAGTCATCCAAGCCAATCAGAATCCTCAGAATCGACGCCGTTTCACCCAGTTGGCACGACAACACATAACCGGCGCTTTCAGAAATCTCCACTTTGGCCAGAGTATTTAGAAATAATCGTTTTCTGTGATAAAAACAGGGTTTTGGGTGTAAATGAGAGGCCAAACCGCAGGGCAATATCTGCGTTTTCCCTTCATGTAAACGGGGCCTTAGACAGATTTGTCAATATTTGAGAGAAATAGGCCTTTTTTGTGCATAGAAAAAGCCTTAGATGTTTGAGTTCAGCTCATGAAAAATGGGGGCAAAAACAAGTGCTGCTTTTATAATTGTGTTCAGTGTATATCTGCCTTCCATCTCCATGAAACATGAACATGAAATTATTATCAGATTATCATTATCAACCAGAATTCTTTAATTTCAATGTAGTCAAAATATTTTAGCAATGCATGAAGCATTGTTGTTATTTTATATCTTTAGTTACCCAGTCCTAAACGAAAGCACCACTCTGAAGATGAGGATGCAGAGAGGGAAGAGGAAGTGGAGGAGGCCGGGGAGGACGTGACTCCTGGCAAGCGGTCCAAGAGCTCATCCTCACAACCTCTAAAGAAGCTAAAGATCAATGTCTTCAAAACACACAAATGCGCCGTGTGTAGCTTCACCACCGAGGACATCGTGAGTTTCCACGAGCACATTCCTCAGCACAAGACCGACGTTTCGTCCTTCCAGTGCCGTGAATGCGGCCTGTGCTACACCTCGCACCACTCCCTGTCCCGACACCTGTTCATTGTGCACAAGTTGAAGGAAGCCCAAGGACTCGGACGCCACAACGATCAGCAGGAGAATACACCCAACCCAGAGGCCAACGACGGCATCCCAGATACTCAATGTAAAGTATGTTCCAAAACTTTTGAAACGGAGGGAGCCTTAAACACACACATGCGGACACACGGAATGGCCTTCATTAAGTCCAAACGGCTGAGCGCAGCTGAGAAGTGAAGAGGCAGGCAGTGCCCCCTAGTGGATGGATGATGGTTTGCAAGGAATTATTTTGTTTGTATGTTGTCATAGAGAACGTGTTGTATTCCTTCACTCTGGCCTCTTTGTATGCTCATTTGTTGTGCATACGTATACATATATATAAATATACATATATATATATATATACAAAATGTATAAATCTATACACACAGAATGTGTGTTTAAAGATGTGTAATATATTAAAAACTGATTTATGTGTATTTAATTATCTATTGAGAACACATTTTGTATACTTTATGATAGATGTTTGTATGCGTGTTGGATAGACCTTTTTTATAGATTTTCTTTTTTATTTTCTATTTTAGACTGTTCTCATTGTCTTCACGTGGGAACAGATGCTGTCCAAAACAGCTGTGTCAGTCTTGGGATGCACTTTCGGTCCTAATTCCCAAACTGCTGCTAAAAAAAAGTGCACAGAATGTCACAGTTACACTTCTCAATAAGACATTTTGCACTCCAAAAGGACAATCAGTCCACAACTTACAACACAAGTAGGAAACACATCTCCTAAAGTAGCCAAAAATGGCATTTGACTGATCAATTGGTCATGGAATTAAGCTTGAAAGCTTCTGTTCTGTCAATTAGTTGTCCATTCAAAGCTACTATAATTTAGCACTACAGAAGAACAGGACATGGAAGTAGTTCTTTAAATTTATATATCTCAGCCACTGCCAAGAGGTCGTGTTGAATCGATATGTGCTTTTTTAACTTTAAAGTGTCGTCACACCCAGACGATTCGCCTCACTTCATTTCTTCTCAGGCAGCTTGTTCCAAATCTTTGAGTTATTTTTGATTGCATTTTGTATTATTCGCATACTACAGTGGGTCAGCTTTGGCCTGTTATCAAGAACCATATTTCAAATTAATGCCCATTTCATTTTTAGGTTCTTTGGGAAGCTTTTATTTGTCATTTGTATCACAAAGGCACTTTGCTCTGCAGATATGTGAAAGTATAAATGAAACTTATCCTGAATATGTTCATTTATAAGTTTCTTTCCTATGGTACGTGACACCCCACTCATAGTTTTCTCATTCATGAAATCAGTAAATCATAAGTGCTTATATACTACACATTGTGGTCAAGTGCCTATGGCGCTCAAAAGCCAAATGTAGATTTGACATTAAAGTCCGTTTTTTTTCCCCTTTCTTTTTTAGAGTAGCATGTTATGGAAAATTCTCAAGTATAATGTTCCACTCACTCACATGCTTAGTGTGATATAAGTGGGGGCAGTGGGGAGCAACAAATGCTGCCTTCACTATAAATGAATGTTTTTGTCAAATGTGAATTGAGCTGTAAAAATTTTTTATTGCTTTTTTTAACCCCTCCAACTAAGCCGTAGCATTTAATTTCAACATTTCACTCCATGATGAGCTCAGTCGTTCTTTTTTTTATTTTTCATTGATCTCAAGACGCTGTATTTTGCTCTCCTTTTCCTATGGATATATGAGGACGCATATGTGCATGAGAGAAGCCATTCACAGTGGTTGTTCTGTTTTATAGAATGTTATGCTGATGTTCGGTAGACCTTGTTCTATGTTTGTGCAAAAAAAAACTGCTATCATTAATAAATGATTCATAAACAGTAATATTCAGTTCACATTTATTCGTATATATTCAGTTCACATTTATTCGTATAACGCTTTTCACAATACATAGTTTTAAAGCAGCTTTACAGAAAATGCATGCATCTTCTGCATTACAAATGAGAGTGAACTGTTGTCAGAGGTGAGTGACCGTGTCCAAGTTATGAATTTCAGAAATGTACATATACAAATCACACAGCTAAAAATGTATTAATTTAAACTATGCAATAATTTAAGGCAGAAACAATGAGTTCATTGAAGTAATGATATATAGGAAATGAAGCATTCCTGTTTAAGCATGTTTAAAGTGGTATGGAGTTTGTATACTTAAGAAATCTCATTTGGGCCTGTTTTAATTAGGCCCAAATGAGATTTCATGGTGACCGTTGGTCTTGGTCACCATTGTTACAAGGGAATTAAAAGTCTGGATTCTCAGAATAAGGGACCAGTGTGAAACGCCACGGTGTGATTGATGCGTTCATGTTGGCAGCGGGGACATTGACTTTAATGTGACTAAAATTAATCACACTGTACCCTAACTCTCAAAATGATTAACTGATTTGAGTAAGGCAAACTTAAATTAAACAAATTAAATTAGTTTTTAGAACTTTCTTTTTTCGTTTGAGTTCACAAAACTAAAACATTAGAAATCTGAATGTTTCATTGTTTCGAGTTTTATGCTCTTCTTTTCATTTAGACAAACTCAAACATAACTGAAACTGGGCTGGGATATCTATTTCCCAGCATGCTTTATGGTGCTCGAAAGGAAGAGTAAATGCTAAAAAATTAAATGTTTTTGCAAGATTAACGTTAAGTGGGAGGTTTAATAATGCTTTTCTGATTAAGCAGAGTTTGTTATGTTGTACAGTTTGTTAAATTTTCTATATTGCAGTATTCATTCAGCAATTGTTATGCTATGCTAATGCTATCAAAGCAAACAAGCCAAGTTAGCATTTGCTGAATTAGCTTGACAAGTTGCCTCTTGTGAAAACTTTCAAGTTTAGATCATATGATTATTAAATGTTAATTAAATGAATGAATGTGCTTACTCAGATAATTCAAGTTAAGAGCAAAATGCCTGAGTACAAAATAAAAATATGCAAGTTCTTACTACCTCTTAGTTTTGCCAGCTGGAGGTTTACAGTGCACTGTAGTGTAAATCTAAGGTTGATCGTTGAATCTGGTTAAACGTGCTACAGTATAAGATTCATTAATCTTTCATTTGTGAAAATAAGTGAATTTTTCTGGCAAATATATGATTCTAAGACTGAATGGAGTTTTTATTTAAGTGTCATTGAAATATAATTGTTTTGTCTTTTTGTCTCTCTGATATTCAGTAAAAGTATTGCAATGTGGATTGCAGTAGCTCAACACAGTAGCCCAATATTTGGCCTTGGAAGAATCTACCCAGAAATATTTGAGGGGTTTTTTTTTCTCCAGATTTTGTTCTTCAGAGCAGAGAACAAATCATGAACACATTCACAAAACAAATATTGAGTTGTTGTCGAGTTGTTCATTGGCCTCCCGGTGGTAAAGGGCTGATTATGTCTGGTTTGGGTGTGATGCATGGCCAGATAAGCGTGCCGATTTGATTTCCATGGTCATTTTAAATGATGGGTCACATGTTCACCTCTTTTCCCATCATGTGTTCAGGTCTCACATTATTTAAACCACTGAAACGGCCAAAATGAATCACTGTACAAGATGCCACGGTTAACATGGAGTGCTGTCACTCTGATGTACTCTGTGTTCGTTTTTCACGACGCATGTGCCTGGAACGTGTCACAAAAATGCACGGGTGACACAACAGCATTCCTTGCGGAATTACAGAAAGAAACTCCACGAAAATACGCTGTTTTGAGTAAGTAGCAAATAATGCCAGACTTTTACTGAAGCATAATTTTTAAACCTCTACTTGAATTGGGGTCATGTTTTCTGGTTGAGCATTGCTTTTTATTTTTGTGCTCATGATGGAACTGTTATCAGACATTTTCATTTACCAATATTAATAATATTTGAAACATTGTTTAGAATATATTAGATGTGTTTATATGTTATTATTTTATTGTATGTATAATATTTTTTTATAATTTCAAATAAAATGTTGGTATTTTTTAAATATATTGATTTTTATATAAATATACAGTATACACCATACAACACACACACACACACACACATAAACATAACAACAACATTCGATCCTATTTTTTTATTATAGGCCTATTTAAAAAAAAATCTTTTGTTTGTTTATCAATATTTTTGAGACTAAACATTTGGTAGGTTGTTCTAGGTGGTTGCTAGGGCATTGCTATGCAGTTATTATTATTATTATGATTATGATTATTATATAGGCTACATTGTTTTTCATACATTATTGATTGATGGTATTTGAAACTTAAACTATTTATTTTTCATGTCTTATCAAATTTTTATCCATATGTTATCCATATATATATATATATATATATATATATATATATATATATATAAAGAGAGAGAGAGAGAGAGAGAGAGAGAGAGATACATACATATGTTATAACTTATATGTATATAAACATAGCATGGTGTGATTGCTTTTCATTTCATCTGTCCTACTCAACTTGTTGTAGTGTATGATGCGTTTGGTAAGATAGGCAGTGATGTTGAGGGAGGGAACGTGAACAGACCTGGATCTCAGAGAGAGTGTCTGTCCGTGGAGGGCCCCGAGTTCAGGGGACAGTACTGCCAGGTGTTCCTCAAACAGGTACGGGTACACTCACACAAACAATAGGTACACATCAATCCACAAAGAAAAAATATTTTATAATATTGCATATTTTTACAATAAGTATGTTATGTATCATTCTAGTGTGATTAAACAACCCGACGCTGGAATGGAGATGAAAGAATGATTGTTGGTGATATTTTTCTGTTGTGCAGGACAGGGTGGAGTACTTTGTAGGTGTTTGTGTTCCAGACTCATGTACAGAATCAGACGTCCAGACGCTAGTGGTTTATGGTGAGTAAAATCATTGTGTCTGATGTACACAAAACAATTATGCCACCCATAAAATTTCTTTTTTCATTGCATTAGACAAACAGTGAACCATGTGTAATTTATTTGAAAGCAAGATGCAAAAAAATATAGATTTACCATGGTTCTTTATAATTTTTGTGTGGGGCATATACAGTATGTACACCTGTCTACATTTGTGTGTTTGTTTCTGCAGAGGCATTTGAACAGAAACATGTCTCTTTGCTTCCTTCTGTGCCTTCAATCTTGATTTCGGATTCCACATTGAACATATTTATGACTCAATGCCTCAGTGATTCCCCCAATACTGACCTGTCTGCTGTAGTCTGCCTGTGAGTAACACACACTCACTGTATGCAACCAAATGTGCCAAATGTGTGGGTTCAAGCTTAATGGGTGTTTTATTAAACACGCACACATGATTATGTTATTCCTAGTTTGCTCCTTTCACATAATCATTTATTTATTTATTTATTTTACTTTTTAGAAGTAGCTTTTTCATTTGACTTTTAATACTTGCACATGAATGGAGCACCTAAAGGGGAAAAACAAACATTTTTGAACATTTTAAAACTTTTGCTTTTCCGCAAGAAACTTCGCATTCTCTTTAAAAAAAAGTTTGTTTCTACAAAAAACATTGCAAAGTTTTACTAAGAGTCTAAGACTGCAAAATATTTGCGACAGAATGCAAAAGCATTGATGCATTCCATTTCCTCCCATCTCATATTTTTTTCCACCACCATGTCCCTTTTAGAGGTTCTGCACATGTGCTCCATATGCTAGAGTGTTGTGTCTGTGATTTCAAGGTATTTTTAGACTTTTTTTAACGATTGATAAGGTGTATGGGTGGTTGCTTAGAAGTTACTATGCAGTTTCTAAGGCACTTTGAGACTTTTATGCAGTTGCTAGGGTATTCCGGGCAGTTGTTAGGGCATTCCTATGATATTTTGAGATTTTATGCGGCTGCCTGGATTTCATGGGTTGTTGCTAAGGCATTGCAATGCAGTAAGGTGTTTTGAAACTTTAGACATTTGCTAGGTTCTTCTGGTGTTTTCCATGGCGTTGCTAGGTAGATGATAGGGTGGTCTGGTCAGTTGTTATGGAATTGCTATGCAGAGACTTGGGTGATTTGAGACTTGGTTATAATGTTGTTCTGCGTGGTTGCTAGGGCATAGGTATTGTTGGTGATTGCTATGCTGTGTGTTTTGAGACTTTATATAGTTGTTCTGTGTGGTTGATAGGGTGTTGCTATGCAGTTGCTAAGGCGTTTTGAGAGTTCATGTGGTTGTTCTGGGTGTTTGATAAAGTGTTGGTCGTTTTGGGTGTTTACTATGTTGTTGCTTGATAGATGCTAGGTTGTTCTGGGTGGTTCCTAGGGCATTGCTATGAAGTAGCTAAGGTGTTTTAATACTATAAAGTTGCCAGGTTGTTATGGGTAGTTGCTTGGACATTGCTATGGAAATGCTAGGTTCCAGTTGGTTAGGTGTTTTTGAGACTATACAGCTACATTGATCTGGTGTTTGCTAGGGTGTTGCTTGGTAGAACATAAGGGAATTCTGGGTGGTTATTAGGTAAATTGCTATGCAGTTACTTAGGTGTTTTGAGACTTTAGATGCAGTTGTTCTGGGTGGATGCGAATGCAAATATGGATGTTTTTCTTGGAGCAAAAACATCAACAAGTGTGTAAGATTTGTTTTTGTGTGTGTGTCTCAGGTTTGTTTGCTGTGCATTATTGGCACTCCCTCTCATAGCTTCCATCTACGTGGCGTTAATAAAAAGGAAGAGAAAGAGAGAGGTGAGGCCAGCAGTGGGTTTTGCTCAAACCTCAAACACCAACCAATATGGCGCTGTCTTGACCAATGGCTCGGCCAATCAGAGTAAAGCATGCAGCGATGCCCCTGATGCCTCACAAACGAGAAATCAAAATGCAGAAAATGTCCAGCAGGGCAAGTACACACACAGATACTCTTTTTAGCATTTATAGCAAGTGTGACTGTACTGATTTTACTAATTTTAATGGATTATTTTTTTTTTCACATTTCATGCTCTTTCTTCACATTATTTCCCCCTCTTCTATCCTCATATTTTCTTTTCTCAGTGGTGTTATCATGCCTTCAAGCGCTCTCTGTGCAGAACAATAGTCAGGGGGTGCTCGCCATGGAAAGCTCTGGAAGCAGTTATTCCTCTCTGAATGGCATCCGTATCCTCAGTCTACTCTGGATCATCTCAGGACACACCATGCAGCTCAGTGCCTGGAGTAACCTGGGTAAGATTGAGGGGGAGATGTCCGTATCCATGCACTACTTTGGCTATGATGAATTGAGAGATAAGTGTTATTTGTGTCTTTCACCTGATTTCATCAGTTTCACTTGATTTGTTTCCATGTAGATAATGATAAGAGGTGGAAGGACATGGTAGAGAAGAACCCTTTGTATGTCTTGGCCTTCAGTGGGCCAGTGTATCTTGCGGTTGACTCTTTTCTGCTGCTGGGGTAAGACCATCTTAGCAATAGAGCGCAACAGTTGGGTTCCAGAAGTAAACAAATTATTTTTAAAGGGGTGGTTTACTGCTTTTTTTCTTTGCATGATTGTGTTTATGGGGCGCAATATAACATGTATTCGTGGTTTTTCTTTTTTAAAAAGTCGAATTTTTCATAAATTTCACCTTTTTTGTAAACCACTTTCTCTGTCATTTGAATGACTGGTTTACATCCTGAGTCTATGAAACCACTCCCTCAGAAACAGGCAGTGGGCTCAGATTGCTTAGTTTGGGCCGGTGTGTTTTGATTGGCTAAACTGTGTAGTGCACTTTTTCCGGAAACTTCACGCCTTACGGGCGAAAGTTGCATGTGCTCCAGTCAAATGTAAATAATGGTGTCGAAACTGCAGTATCAGAGCCAGAATCAGACCCAGAAAACTGCGATGAAGAGAGTCAAGCAGAACCTCCGCAAACACGGCTCTTACAAAACGCAAAACTTTTTTCATTATTATTATTCTATTCTATTATTATATAAGAATTTCGATACTTTGTTACTTGAAAATGCTACTGCTGCTTGTTAGCTTTTGAGATATGTTTTTCTCCTGATTAAACATTTAATATAACTGAATAAAGCACAAAATAGCATAGTGGCTATAAAGCCAGAAACTAAAACATTACGTCTGAAATACATTTACAATTATTAAGTCTTACTTACAGGTTGTGGCCCAACAACTGCTGCCTCTGGTTTTAAAGTTGGAACTGCTTCATGTTTTAGTAACAGTTTCTTGTTGAATCCGGCATTGAATTTTTGGAGATTCTGGAAGCTGATTTCGTAAAATGCGCAGCACAGAGAGCTAAATTACGATTAAATTACGATTGTAATTTTCAGGAACATAATCAAACATAAATTTTATCCATTGTTGACGAACTACAACGTCCGTGGGAAACCCGAACACGGAAGACCTGACAGGTGGGTGGGGTTGATGCAAATGTATGGGTTAGTGACGTCTAAAACCCGTTGTAGTCCCATTTGAGTCGTTTTTGTAGGCATTAAACTTCCTGATTTTTAAAAGACGATATCTCTGCTTACACTGAACTTTCAGCACTGCAAATTTGCAGATAATGTTCATGCACCAACAGCAATATTAAACACTATTTAAAATGAAAAAAGGGAAATCACAATCAACCATCAAACATTAAGACAGCCTTACTGTGAGCCTAACAAGGTTGTTGACCGATGGTATTTGCTTCTGTTGAAGCCATTAGACTGCATTATATACTTTGAAATTCCTATGGGAGAAATGAAAAATACTTTCGCTACTGAAAAAAATGGGCGGTTGAACTGGCTCATATGTCATATTAGACAAAAATATGAAACATTGTCAAGTGTCAAGTCTTAGCCAGGAGAAATCAAAGCAATCCGGATAAAAGGCAATCTATTTTTATGATCACCACAGTACTATCATTCGCCTTCACCTGTTGGCTATTCATAAAAAAAATAATAAAATGGCTCTGTTTATAATAAAGTGTCAGTCTTTAAAGACTCTAATAATATGCTATTTTTTAAGCCACATGGCATTTAGTGGTTTTTATGATTCATAAACTTTGACTAACGTTTTATGGGGTCATTTAACAAAACACCATTTTCAACTAAAAACTTTGTAACTTTTGTTTTTGTCATTCATTTACACTATAATGGCGATTTGGTGGACTTTGGTGGAGCTTTGAAAAGTTTAGGTTTTACTTCCTAAACTTACTAAATTATGCCTTATTACAAGCAAATAACCATGAACCAAACCCTATATAGAAAGTACATGTAGTAATTAATATTACTCATTACTTATTTGTGTAATAAAGTGTAACCAAAACATAGCTTAACCATGTTGCATGACATAATCTCCAATTTAGAATTACTGGCTTATTAGTATTGACAGTGTGTTGTTTGTTTGGTTGTGGCAGTGGTTTGCTGAGTGCCAAATCACTGCTAAACTCCATCCAGAGGTCAGATGACACGCTCAGCTTCAGTCTGGTGGCTCATTTCCTCTTCAAGCGGTTCAGGCGGTTAGTTTTATCTTCATAGCTTCCAGTCAAGACATAATGTTAGTTCTTCTCCAATTTTATGGGTTGATTTTCTGATAAGTATCTGCCTTAAACATCTCATCTAATTCTTTCCAGGATTCAACCTCTTCACCTCTTCATCGTGTGCCTAAGCATTGGACTCTTCTCCGTCGTTCAGAGAGGGGTCTTCTGGTTCATAGCAGAGGATGAGGTCTTCAGCTGTAAGAAATACTGGTGGTCAAACCTGCTCCTCATCAACAACCTCTTCACCATCACGGATATTGTACGTCTGGGAACCTTTTGGTTGATCTGATCACTTCACTTGTGTAACTGCAGAATATGGTTAAAAGTAAATGGCATTTTTTTCAGTGTGCCCCCTGGACGTGGTATCTCTCCATTGACTTCCAGTTCTATGCAACGACACCTTTTCTGATCTTCCTATACAGAATGTAAGTTCAGTCCGTTTGCCTGTATCATAAGTACAGAATTTATCACCACACCACCCTTTATATCTCATCTCATACATGTGGGTGAATTTGATGAAAACACATCGGGGTCATATTTAACCCTGATTGTTTTTTTTTTCTAGAATCATTACAACAATCAAAAAATATATTTTTATTTTATTTGTAATAAATGTTGATTTTCACTAGATTCTAACAGAGTAAAGGCACTATAATAAAATAATAAAGTATAATAAAATGCTTAAATTAAAAGCTTACAGCAAAAGGTAGTTGCTAATTATTGTAAATAGTTTAAAATGATAAATTTCTTTCCACATACAGTACACTATCGTTCAAAGCCTTGAGGACATTACGATTTTTATTTTTATGTTTCAGAAATAAGTCTCATATGCTCACCTATGCTGCATTTAATCGGTCAACTACAGTAAAACTGTAATATTGTTAAATATTACTACAATTACAAATTACTCTTTTCTATTTTTAAATATTTTTAAATTTTATTCCTGTGATGGAAAGCTGAATTGTCAGCATCATTACTCCAGGCTTCAGTCACATGATACTTCAGAAATCATTCTAATATTCTAATATCTGTACTCATTTGAATAGTTGTGCAATTTGAGAATGCAGTGCAAAAAAAAAAAAAAAAGTACTTTGTTTCTTTAAACAAACAATGATTTCTCATTTCTTTCTTTGGGGTAAAATACAAAATGTTCTCGACAGGTTTTGTGTGATTCACCCATGTAAAGTCTAACACTTTTTTCCACGTCATAATCAACACCTCTTGCTTATTACAGAAACAAAAGTGTGCTTGTTGTTGTGTCGTCGGTTCTCCTAATGCTCTCCAGTGTAACAGGAGGCCTGATCACCGGTTTCCTCCAACTCCCTGTGCACCAGCCAACCACACTGTAAGAGAACTTTTATTTTTTATTGCATCACTAAGAAAATACTCCCAATAAGATGAAATCACACGCAAAGCGGACTTCTGTGGCCTCTAGCTGCTGCCAATGCAATACAGATTCAGAGTCAGTTCAGAGACAATTTATGTATACAGAGACATGCCACTTCCTCAATCCTCAATACAAATATATAGGGAAAACCCGTAATGCCAAAGATGGCGGTTGTATGCACATGCCCCGCCCCTCCCGCTGGAAACATGTAAGCCTATCGAGGTCCCATTGACGCATGCGCACAGTTGATGTTTGCAATAGCGGAGATGAGAACACTTGCGCATGCGTAGTAAACGTATAACCTATGGGGGAAAAGACCTTTTAAACCTTATTTTGGGCCAAAGTCATCAAACTTTTTCAGCGATTTTTATCATTTTTTACTGCTGTTTCTATAGACCATTTTGCAAGATGTAAACAACATTGGTCCAGAAGCACTTCCTGTTTCAGTTTTTTAACACTACATAAAAGCTGGGATAAAATACAACCAACAGAACATATAAAACTGAATCAGAAAGTTAAACAAACATCTTTAAGATGTTTTTTTTACATGTGAAATAAAGAAAACAGTTACAAACTGAAACCGGAAGTGTTTCCCCAGACAGCAAACTGACATTGAATCAACGTGGAAACGACGTCTCTCATGACATTGAAACAACGTTGATTTGCTCATCGAATTAACGTTGAACCAACGTCAGACGCGGCATTCTTCAAAGCTAAATGAAATCGAAAATTGGTTTGCTTTCATAACGTTGAAACAACGCGTTGATTTCAAGTTGATTTTCCGTTAGTTTTGAAAGAATGACGCATCTGACGTTGGTTCAACATTAATTCGATGAGCAAAACAATGTCAGATCAACGTTGTTTCGATGTCATATTTCCACGTTGATTCAATGTCAGTTTGCTATCTGGGTCTGGACCAGTGTTGTTTACATCTTGCAAAATGGTCTATACAAGCAGTTTTTATGTCCATTCACCAGTGAAAGTGCAATTCTGACTCTCTGCCCATTCATAGTTAGTTATAGTTACAGAAGAAGTTGCGTAGACTCTCAATGGAGAGACAAAACTCTCTCTTCGGACACACCATGTTGGGTTCGGAATGATGTTTTCTGGTGAACTAACCCTTTAAATGTTGCCTATGTTTTAAATTGCAATGTAATTCATTGATATTCTGTACCGGTTGACTTGTTTTCAGGGCCTATGAAAGCTATTTTCAGTATTACTACAACAAACCCTACACAAGATATGGACCATATTTGCTGGGCATTCTTGCTGGAATATACATGACAACCAAGAAAGAGACACTTATAAAACAACAGGCAATGTGTTTAACACTTTTTACTTAGTCACAGTATTCGTTTTTACATCAAAAATGAGTTTTCAGTCACATTACACATCTTTTTTGTTATGTGACAGTGGCAGGTAGTCATAGGTTGGCTCTGCTCCCTGTCAATCATGGCCGTGTTGGTGGGATTGGCCTATGTGCTGAGAGACGTCCCGCCCTATCCGTCCCTTCCCCATGCTGTTTATCAGGGGATGCACCGATCGCTCTGGGCCCTGGCTCTGGTCTGGATCATCCTGGCCTGTGAGGAAGGACACGGGGGTAACAAAAAGAGCTTTGAAAACTCAAAATTGTAGTAAAAACGTTCAGTCAGCCAATCATTGTTGCAAAAAAAGCAAACCATAACAGGAGTGGATTTGCATCACCCGAGGGAGTTTATTTCTGTGGTAAAGAGTATCTGATAGTACATCTTACCCATCTTTACATGGCAGCTACTAAATAAATTAACATTAACATTGATTTGAATTTAGATAATATTATTTAATTTAGTAAGTTAAGACTACATAGCGATATGAGGTATGAAACCAGCTGTGTAATAATAACAAATCACTTTTACCAAGCACCTTTCAACTATATCTGCCAGCTAAATATCTGCATGTTAGTGGTGTCTGTTAAAACATATCTAAATATGTATCTCTCTGTGTGCAGGTTTTGTGGATAAAATCTTGTCTTTAGGCCTGTGGGCTCCCCTGTCTAACATCAGCTTTGCCTGTTATCTGATCCACCCCATTATTATTATACTGTACAATGGCAAACAAGAGACAAGCATGCACTACACAGACTTCAACTTTGTAAGTATTCTCTTATATATTCATTGTTCATGTTAACTAAAGTACTTAACTAATGTTAACAAATAAAACCTTATAGTAAAGTGTTACAATTTTTGAAAGCGGCTCTATGTATAATTCTGAAACCCTGACACCGGTGGCTTTTAAATGAACTGCACCCAGCAACTTATTGCTCGCGCTCGCACTTGTGCACACACTCCATAGTGACGTGAGCAAGTCTTGGCCAAAACAGTGGCGATTCACCGGCATCATTTCGACAGATGATCTTAATTAAAATTACACTGTTATGATAGTTTCCTTTTTATTTTCCCATGCAAACAGTCCTGTGTCTTTCACATAAAAATCAGTCTATAGGCTTTCATTGACAACCTAGGAAGTCTTTTTAAGTTTCAGTACAAGCTGTTTCCACATTGGCAATAAAAAAGCTATAAATAGCCAGCATAAAAATTCTTACATTCCCTTTAATGCTTTTGAAAGTTGTCTCTTCTGCTCACCAAGGCTGCATTTGTGTGATCAAAAAATACAGTCAAAACTGTAATATTGTGAAATATCATTACAATTTAAAATAACCACTTTCTATATTAAAATGCAATTTATTCCTGTGATGGCAATGCTGAATTTTCAGCATTATTACTTCTGACTCATGATCCTTCAGAAATCATTTTAGTATGCTGATTTGCTGCTCCATAAACTTTATTTTTTATTATTAATGTGTTAAAAAAAATCTTCGGGATTCTTTGATGTATAGAAAGTTAAAAATAAATCTTTTACAGCACTGTAGGCTAAATGTCTTTACTGTCACCTTTGATAAAGTCAAATCATGGCGAACTGTTCATTCTCTTTCCGGATGCCATTTTTAATTAGCATTTTGTCTTCTTTTCTCTCGTTTTCTGTCTTCAGTTCTACCTGTTTCTGGGTCACCTGGTGTTGACAGTCTCTATAGGTTACTTGTTAACTGTGCTCATTGAAAAGCCGTATTTCTTCCTGTCGAAACGATAAGCCCTGCTTCATTCCCTCAAAACTGGAAGGTGAAGTGAAGATTTCCATATATTCAAGAGAAAAGAGGAGATTTAATTACAGTATATTTATTCATTTATCACCCTTGTACCTCATTTCTTTCTGTGGAAGCTGTAGATTACTGCTTATGAACAGTATTAGAGAGCTTTGGTGTTATTATTTGAATGCATAAAATAAATTATAGCCTATATTGATGTACAGATTTAATAGAATGGTAAAGTTCAATGTTATTGTGTATGTTGTCATTTTTTTTATAATGTAAAACTCATGTAATGTAAGTAAAAATGTACTGTGATGGTACTAGGGTATAATGATGTCATCAGATAGTATCAGCATTAAATATTACAACAGCCATTTTTGAGGTACTTTTTTGTATGCATTATGCATGAAATATCTTCTCTGCATAATGGAATGAATTCATGCATGAAATGAACAGATGTCATGTATAAAATAAGCTGATGTCATGCATGACAAACAGGAATATACCTCAAGTGTGAGCATACCCGCAAGTGTGTATAAAACTCTTGACAAGATGTCAACGTCCGAAGGGCAGTTTAGGTGACCAGAGACCACATCTTAATAGTAGGAAGTGAAAGATGATCCAAGATTGTAAATAAAATAAATAAATAAATAAAACAAATCATCCCATTAATCACTTTAGAAAATAAGGCTTGCAAGACAAAATACTGCATAGCATGCTGCTACCCACCTGAGTGCCAGCCTGCTGTAATCTGTTAAATCACAACATCTGAATCATACAGTATGAAGAAAATCAACATCAAGTGGTCAATCAACTCTTCAAGAGGCCAATTACTGTAGCTATTCGACAGTTTAGAAATTACAGAACTACTTTAAATTTCAAGTTCAAACTCAAAAATGACTTACTGCACACTTACTGCACAGCTACTTACTGCACAGTGCCCTATAGCCTGTTATTATGTACCCTACTGTATAATATATTTTAAAAAAAAAAATAGAAAGAAAGAAAGTCAAGAAGTAAACTTCAATTAACTGAAAACATCAGTTTTAATCTAATTAATATTTCCAAAATTGTGTGTTAATTTAAACCCTTATAAAAATGTGCATGTTTGATAAAAGAGTTAGATGCAAGTGGGATACAGTATTCAGGTAGTATGTTTTTTTTTTTTTTTTTTTTTGTATACAGCTCATTTTGTCAAATGCTGGAGGTCACCCAGGTGTTCTATGTGTACAGAATATTCACACTGTCCACAGTATGCATATCCTGTAGCTGTACTGTATAAAGTATCGTCTCTGGTTACTTACGTAACCTATGTTCTCTGAATAGGGAACGAGACGCTGCGGATAGCGCAGTGGGATATTCTCTGAATATGCCGATTGTCTGAAGCCCAATAGAATCACGCCAATCCATTGGCTGATGGCGCTCGCGCAATCTGGCCCCGCCCCGACGCAATTACGTCGCATAATCATATACGCGCGTGCGCCATCTTCCCCTCAGATTTCTCTGCCGAAAAGAAGACTGTCAGCAGCGCGAGGAGCTTGGCCGCTAACGCAGCGTCTCGTTCCCTATTCAGAGAACATAGGTTACGTAAGTAACCAGAGACGTTCTCTTTCATAGGTTCACTCAACGCTGCGGATAGCGCAGTGGGAACGGGATACCAAACTCGCCAAGCAAAGAGCGCTGCAATGACTGGTATCAAAAGATAAAGACTACAAACGGTTCAAACAGAAAGAATCTGGGAACCCGGGGTCATGTCAAGATCCAAATTGTAGAAACGTACAAAAGTGTGCGGAGAGGACCATCCGGCCGCAACACAAATGTCCTCTAATAGAGCTCCCCTGAAAAGAGCTTGAGAGGATGCCACACTCCTGGTGGAATGCGCTCTAATGCCAAGAGGCGAAGGCAAACCACGCGCCTGGTAGGCAATCGATATCGCCTCTGTGACCCAATGAGAAATCCTCTGTTTCGATGCAGCAAGCCCACGGCGGCCAGCACCAAAACAAACCAGAAGCTGGTTAGATTCCCTCCAACAGCTGGAGCGGTCTACATAAAACTTCAAAGACCGAACCGGGCAGAGCAGATTAAGCTTCCTATCCTCCTCAGAGGAAAAAGGCGGAGGGTGGAAAGCGTTAAGGCTAACAACCTGAGAGCGGAACGCTGTGGAGAGAACCTTAGGAACATAGCCTGGCCTAGGTCTCAAGGAAACTTTGACTAACCCGGGAGCAAAGTCTAAGCATGACTCACTAACCGAAAGAGCCTGCAAGTCCCCTACCCGCTTTAAAGAAGACAAAGCCAACAAAAGTGACACCTTAAGAGTCAGAATCCGATCTGGAGCTGACTCTAAGGGTTCAAAGGGGGCCTCCTTTAAACCCTCCAAGACGACAGAAAGATCCCAAGAGGGAACTCTAGGGGAGCGAACTGGTTTCAGGCGCCTAACCCCACGCATGAAGGCCGAAACTAACCTCAATTTGCCCAAAGGAATCTCGTCTGACTCTCTATGTGCCGCAATGGCTGCAACATAGACCCTGAGGGTGGTAGCCGCCGCCCCGGAGGAAAATCTCTCTTGCAGGAACTCCAACACTGAAGCGACAGGGCAGTTAACTGGGTTCCTATCACGTGCCAAGCACCAAGACGCGAAAACCTTCCATTTGGAAGAATACAGTCTCCTTGTAGAAAGAGCTCTAGCACTAGCGATGGTCTCCTGAACGTCAGTCGGGAGATCCAAGCCTAAAGTCGACGACCCTTGATCGGCCAAACGTACAGCTTCCACATGTCCGGGCGAGGATGCCAAATCCTGCCCTGAAGTTGGGAAAGCAGATCCTCTCTGATTGGAATCTTCCAGGGAGGCGATTCCAGCAGAGGAATTAACTCCGAAAACCATGGCTGAGACGGCCAGAATGGGGCTACTAGAAGGAGGCGGACTCCGCTCTCCCTCACTCTGGCCAGGACCGCCTGGATCAGTTTGATGGGCGGGAAGGCGTAGAGTTTCTGCATTGGCCAAGGGTGGGCGAATGCATCTATCCCCAACGGAGCTGGAGGATTAAGGGAGAACCAGAGCGGGCATTGGGATGACTCCTGCGAGGCAAAGAGGTCCACCTCCGCTTTTCCGAACACCTCCCAGATCAGGGAAACTGTCTGACGGTTCAACATCCAATCCCCCGACTGGAGTTTCTGCCTCGATAGAAAATCCGCTGCGAGGTTCAGAACCCCTGGGACATGGACCGCTCTCAGAGAAAGAAACCTGCTCTGAGACCATAATAGAAGATGACGCGCATGCCTGTCCAGGGTGCGAGATCGAGAACCTCCTTGCCGGTTTACATGGGAAACTACCGCCATGTTGTCCGTCCTGACAATGACATGGTGACCCTTTAGAAAAGGGAGGAAATGACGCAAAGCCAGGAAGACGGCTCTCAGTTCTAAGCAGTTTATGTGCCAAGCGAGGGTCTCGCCCGTCCAGACCCCGCATGCTGGCCTGCCCTCGAAAACTGCTCCCCAACCGGTTAGAGAGGCATCCGTCGTAAGCATCTGGCGACGGAATACCGTACCCATGCTGACCCCTTTCTGAAGAAAGAGATGGTCCCGCCAAATCGACAGGGCGCGAGAGCAACTGCCCGACACCCTCAACAGGCGAAAGGCTGACCCAGTGGGCCGGATGCCTGAGAGCTTCATCCACCACAGGAAGGGTCTCATGTGGAGCAGACCCAGGGGTAGCACAGGGAGGCTGCGGCCATTAAGCCCAGAAGCCTGCGGCAAGTGCCCACAGAAACATGATGGCCAAGCGAAAAACGGGCCAAACATGTCATCAAACTGCAAATCCGTGCAGGAGCCAAACGGGCCTGCATACGAACGGAATCCATGTGCACACCCAGGAAGACTGTGTGCTGAGCTGGAGTAAGAACACTCTTCTCCACGTTCAACCTCAGGCCGAGAGACTGAATATGGCGGAGAACAGTGTCCCTGTGGTGGGTAACCAACTCCCTGGACTGGGCTAGAATGAGCCAGTCGTCCAGATAATTGAGAATGCGGATGCCCTGGAGCCGCAAGGGGGCCAGTGCTGCATCCACGCATTTCGTGAACGTTCTCGGTGCCAGGGCAAGGCCAAAGGGAAGGACCTTGTACTGGAATGCCCTCCCTCCAAAGGCGAACCTGAGGAACTTTCTGTGACGCCGCACGACCTGGATGTGAAAATAGGCATCCTTGAGGTCTATTGTCACGAACCAATCTCCTGGTCGAATCTGAGAGATGATGGCTTTCAACGTCAACATCTTGAATTTCCCTCTGAAGAGGGCGAAATTTAGTCTGCGGAGGTCTAGAATGGGACGCAAGCCGCCGCCTTTCTTCGGAACCAGGAAATAACGGCTGTAGAAGCCTTGTTCGATTTCCTCCGCAGGAACCTCCTCTATAGCTCCTTTGAGAAGGAGGGAAGAAATTTCCCGCTGTAGCACAGAAGCCTGAGTGGCGCTGTTGACTACAGTAGGAAAAATCCCGTTGAACCGAGGGGGGGTTGCGGCAAAACTGGAGAGTGTAGCCGAAACCGAACTGTGCGAAGAATCCACGGCGATACCCCTTGTAACCGCTCCCATTCTGGAAAGAAATGTGAAAAGAGGAAGAGGGGTGTTGCAATGCAAATGACATACCTGAGTGAGGGTGTCGTGCTGAAGGCCGTGGAGTTGCAAGGTTGGCCGTGCAGGAGAGCCCTTGGCGTCCTGACACGCGATGAGAGGTGCTAACGCTGAGGTCTGGGTGACCGGGCCTGCCTGCTCCAGAGAAAAAGGAAGAACGTTTCTGAGGACGTGACCGGCAGTCAAAGAGAGTGTCGGGGGAGAGGAGAGAAAACCCAGGGTGTCTCCTTCCTCTCGCACCGGGCTGCGTAGAAGCGGTGAAATATGGCCTGCTCTTCGAAACACCCAGGTGGCGAAGGAGACAGGGTAAGAAAAGGAGAGCTGGTTGGAGGTGGACAGAAACGCTTGCGCGGTCTGTCCCAACCTCGTGCCTGTGGAGGAGCTCTCCTTTTCCCGACCAACGGGTCAGGAGCGGGACGAGGCAGCTGGAGCGGGCGGCTTGTCGGATCGCTTCAGCTGCACACGTTTATGAGGTCGCTGACGAGGGGAAGCGGGCGACCGCTGGCTCCCCAAACCGTGGGAGGTGGGGGACGCGCTGGGTCACTCCTCCTGAAAGAGGACTCCGCTCCCTGAGAAAAGCGTTCTCTAGGTCTTCGGGCAGGGGAGGGAGCGGGGGATTCCCTAACTCTCCTGGGCATGA